TTTCTTAGGTAGCGAGGTCTTTTCCATCAGAAAGCATGAAGCGTGACTTTGTTTTTATGATGCTCAGAATTTTAGGAATTGAAATCTCCATGATATAAAGTTTGACAAATGTAACCATACACTATTTTATGGATCATTTTTTAAAAGTATGTCCTCTGCTGATAATGGAAACCAAAACCCCTAGGAAGTCTTTAGACATTTAATCTTGATAAGAAAAAGCAGGTTAGCTGTTAGTTTTCAGCCATATGTGAAACTACTCAGGCAATGTGAAGTTATTCAATTCAGTCCCAACATTCGCTCCACCGTAAATGAGTCTCTCCTAGTGGGTTGTTTTGTGGGAGCAAAGGTTTTGTTCCTGGGGTATATGGGACCTTAGCCTCCATGGGCTTGGGAGGTTTCCCCAGTGTGGTGTTCAAGTGTGGGCAAGTCACCACTTTCTTGTGAGCTGAGCTGTTATCTGGTGGGCAGGGTGTCTCCTTGCTGGGCTGAGTTGTGTTCAATACATTGTTCATGTCAGTAGAAAGAACATTCCTGAGAGCCTGCTTTCTCAAATACCTTAAAAGACATGTAGACCCTGCCTTTTAAATTTGCTATCTAAACAGAAGAAAAAAAAATGTTTTTTGAAGTCCAAGGTACTGTATTAGTAAAATCTTTAACTAACTAAATATCTAACTAGCCAGTGTTTCAATGTCTCCTAGACTTTTGACTGAGAATGATATGTAGATAAAGATAGGAAATTGTATCTTGCATTAATGTATACATTATCCTCATTTACTGAAAAGGAGTGACTTTCTTAGGTGCGGTCCTCTTTGCCTTGGTAATAGCTTTACTATTCCTGGTACTCAGAGGGTTTAGATGATAAGAATATGGGGACATGCAAATCTTGCTCTAAAGAGTTGTGAACTTGATGGAAATCATTTGTGGTGTTGACTTACAGAGCACTACTACACACAAAAACAAAGCATGTTAGTCAAGTCTTCATTTAGGAATAACAGTGAGGAGAGACACATCTGTACCAGAAGGACTTCTAATTGGTTTGCAAACTCTGTCTTCCCAATTCCAACCCTTCGTAGACAAGGGCCATCGCTGACCTTTGCATAGACAAACCCAGCCTTTCTATTTGTCTTTCAGTAAATATAGCTTATAACCTGAATTTTCCAGCCTTCTAAGGTAGTCTTTCATGTCATGTCCAAAGAGATGCATGACATCCCTATTTTCAGGACTGGAGGTGGCCTGGTGTATCCTCAGAGACTCCAAGAGTTTTGCAGAGTTTTGAGGTCGCAGATATTGTCCCTCTCACAGCAAGGAGTTCCTGGTCCATCCTTTGGTCTATCAGGGCTATTTCCATGTTACCCTTGAGAGAAGACAGCTCTGCCATGCCCCAAACACAGACCTACCCTCCAAGTTAACATTCTGGCTAGGAGCAGTGTTTTGCTGTCAGAAAGGCTGCTCAGGCTGCTGCCCTGGACCAGATATGATCACCATTGTAGGACTGTATGAACAGCTGCTATTTGGGCTGACTCACTCACCCAGAAGAATATAGAGCCAGCTATTGATTTTAAAGTGAGAAAATAGGCAAAGCTGTCAGTAGTGTGCCTGTGTCGTTGCACCTTTATTTAACCTTGTCTGCGGATACCCAGATGCTGCCTGCTGGACAGGTGGTGTAGCTGCATTGTCGGCCTTCTGTTTTCCCATCACTGGTACCCATTGAAAACAGATCCCTCTGGGTGAGTTGTGCTTGTTTCAGAGGGGCAGAGTTTGCTGTCCATTAGGACTGTGGGAAACTTAGCCTCCCTGGGATTGGAATATTCCCCTTGCAGGACTTTTTCATATTTGGTACCGTGAGTCAGAAAGAACAAATCATTGTTGACCAGCTGGCTCCATTTTCATCTTTGGAGCAAAGATCCCAGGACTGAACCTAGAGAAGCTAGTGTTTCCACATCTCTGCTGCCCCTAGACCGTCATGTTAGCAGTCTGAGCTTCAATTTTCTCATCTGTGAAAGGGAGGGTAGCTAGTTATGGTGGAGCATGACTGTAATCCTAGCATTCTGGGAGGCTGAGGCAGAAGGATTGAAAGGTTGAGTCCATCCTGGGGGACTCAGGGAGAGCCTGTCTCCAAATGAAAACATAGAAAAAGGACTAGGGATGTAGCTCAGTGTAATGGCTCTGGGTTCAATTCCCAGTACCACCACCACCACCACACAGCAACAATAGCAACAACAAGAAGAGAAAAGCAGGTTTATTACTTTTCTAGGTCTGCCATAACCAAGAACCACAAATGAGTAACATAAACAGCAGAGATTTATTTGACCAAGTGCCATAGTTTTGGGATCTAGAAGTTCAAGATCAAGATGCCAATGGGGTTGGTTTCTCCTGAGTCCTCTCCTTGGCGTGTGGAGAGCTGTTGTTTCCCCGTGTCTTCACATGTTCTTCTGAGTCCAAGTTTCTTATGAACTCACTAGTCAGATGGGAGTAGTCCCCCACACTGATACAGTCACATTCCCCTTAACTACTTCAAGGCTCTATCTCCAAATATAGTCACATTCTGAGGCATCGGGGTTAGGACTTGATAATATTAATTGGGGCAGGGGAACAGGTCAGCCAGCCCAGGGTTTGCGGTGGAGGAAGTGTGCATGAACAATAGTTTTATAACAATTCTCTCAGTTGGTGGCTGTCTTCAGAAGGGCCTAGAAGCTAGGGTGCCAAGTTGTCCTGGTTTGTGCTGAAGGGTTTCCCAGGTTGTGAGACTTGAAGTAGCAAAACAGAGGCAGACCCAGCAACCCAGGATGGCTGGTCACCCTGTCCCGCTCTCCTGGAGGGTACAGGGAAGATATTTGGTCCCCAGCCCACCTCTGCCAGAGCTGTGCCACTTGTGCAGCATTTATACCAGCATCCAAGGCGAGATGAAATGTTTCATAGCCACAATCTCAGAAAACCACTTGACTCAATAGCCTCCATGGCCCTTTCCTACCGCCATATTTAATGATTCTAGGTCATTCATGCTTATTGAATTCCATTCATCTATCTGAAGCTAATAACTGGAGAAAAACTCATTTAGTTCTCATCCAGTTTGCAGGTGAAAGTGAAAACAGAGCAGGGAAATATTTGTGAAGCCACGCTGGTTCCCAGGCAGAGCGTGGTGCCTTTCTGTTCCATGTCAGAGCTCTCTGAGCTCTCTATGCCCATCTGAGCAGCAGCCCTGTGAATAGACAGCATTGCCTCTAGCTGCTACTGCCACCCTGAAGAAACTGAGGCAGAGCGGTGAGTCGCTAGCCCAAGTCTCATGGCTGGTCAGGGCATGGCCAAGATTGTGCCAGCGGTGTGGCTTGAGCCCTGGTATGTCCCCGCACTGAATCCAGATGCTGGTGTCCCTGCTGATGAGGAGCAAGGCTGCTTGGGTCAGTGTAAGGTAAGGACATCTCGGCTGATGGACTCTTGTCTTGAGGTCAGCCGTGTGGCCACCCCTAGCTGGTCCTGCCTTTTGCTCTTGCAGAAGCCCAGCCTACGGCAATGTTCTCAGGTGTCCACAGGTCTGGGGATCCCTTGTTAACTAATCCCCTTCAGCTCTTCAGAGGAGGCCCTTGTGCCACGCTTAAACTCCTCCCCATTCCTCGTGAGTTCTTTTTTCATGAAAGATCAGCAGCTGTTTCTGGCTGGACTTGAATAATTCTCTGTTGTTTATAGCCTAGTCATCTTTTTGCTGTTAACTTGGATATGTGGCAAATGATATTGGTTTTGTATTTAGGATAGTGCTATAAAGTGCCCTTAAAAGTGAAAAAGCAAGTAATATAAAAAGTATTTAGTAGCTAACAGCACAGATGATGTACAGAAGTGATAAAAATTGGGAGCATGTGGTGAAAAAGATTGATTTTGTGAAACACTAGATGGGAGGAGAGGCTGCTGCTTCAGAGAGTCTTGAAAGCAGCAAATCCAAGGCCTGAGCTGCCCCATCAGTCCCTCAGGGGACAGTGCCTCCATCAGACAGGGCTCACCTCGGCCCTCAGGTTGTGGCTGCAGGCCCCTTGGAGGGCAGGGTGCCTTTCTGGGCTTTGTTTTGTATTTATAATGGTTTTCAATATTGTTTAAATGTTCTCATTAGGGTAAGAAACCAACACTAAAACCAAAATCAGTGCCTTCTCCAGGCCTGGGCTTTGCTTTGGGAAAAGTATGTGCAAGCTGGGTGGAGGCACTTCTCCTGGTGAACAGTAAGCTACAGGCGGGCGGGGAATTGGGTCCCACAGCTCTCCTGGTGGAGCCTGGTCATCCCTCCTGGGTGCTGAGAAGCAGGAGCTTCTCTGAGAGTAGTCTGAGAGCACATGAACCCGAAGGGCCTTTTGCACAGGGTCAGCCTCTGCCTGCTGAGTTTGCTGTTGGTAACTACTCCTGAGCTGTGTCCTGCTCACTGTTAACCAAGGCAGTGAATCTGGGGCTTTCTTCGGGTGTGATTCCCACATCAAGCTCTTGCTGTAGGATGATGTCTGGACGTGGCTGATCTCCCCAGGACCCAAGAGCTATTAACAATGGGTGTTGTGTGTAGTACATGCACCAAGTCTTTTGACTTTCCACACATATGGTGCACATGAGTTTCCAGAGTTCATCAGGGAAGCCTCATCAAATTTACCATAACCTGGAGACAAATATTTTAGACCTATAGTTTTTAGCTACTTTCCCACCACTCGCTGCCTAACAAGGCAGCTACCTAGTCACGACTAGCACCTCTTCTTTGAGCCTTTACTCCCTCCTGCAGTGTGAATATAATCTCCACTTACAGAACTGTGCTTGTAGGGTGTTCCAGAGTTGTGTCACCTCTCTGCTTTATCTTCAGTTACCATTTCTTAAGGTGTTTCTAAGTTTTTTTTTTCAGGCTACCTGAAATACAGGAGGAAAGTAAAAAGAAACACAAAGCTACTGGTTAAGAAATAAAACATATTTTTATTTTCAAAGCTCAGTACCTCTAATCCTGTTATCTCTTGGCATAAAAAAAAATCTTTTCCCACCAGAAAACATTTTTATGGATTATTTCACTACAACCCCATGATGCTTGGACTTGAATCACTTCCTGATCCTATGGACACGTGGGAAATTATAGAGACCATTGGTAAAGGCACCTATGGCAAGGTCTACAAGGTAACCAACAAGAGAGACGGGAGTCTGGCTGCAGTGAAAATTCTGGACCCCATCAGTGTAAGTCACTAGTAAACTGGGACTACAATGTGGTGTTTTCATACACATTGAGCTCTCCATTTCTTTTCCTGATCTGAGTGATAATTGTTATGAAAGGTGTCAAGAAATCTGAAAATGGTCACAATTTGTCAGCCATTCTGAAGGGAGGGCATTTGCTTGGAGTTTAATACTTTCCTTGACTTTTGTTTTTTGATTTTTACTCTTGTGTGGTTTTGGTCCTCTGGGCTCTTCAGAAATTACTCTTTTGGAAAGAGTGATGTATTCTACTCCCTGGTCTCTAAAAGTTACAGTGACTGAGAATTGTACTACTCGATCATCGTAAGCTGACATTTTATTTTAGAGCTGAGGTTATGATCCCATACACTGCTGTGCACAGTGAAGTTGTGTGTGATCTGCCCTGTTTTGGGTCCCTTCAAGCTACTTCTCCATAACTGCTTTGAAAATTCAGACATTTCTCAGTGAAAGAGATACAGTACCTAAATTAGTGCAGTTAAAGAAAAAGATGATAACATAAAGAAACTTTATCAATACACTAACATAGAAGATTTAAATTGGAATTGTCCATTGTTAGATATTTTGAAGATACAGGAATGGTAACATTAAAACACACAGTTAATATACTTTATTAATTGATTACTTGAGCGTGATGTACCATCTGTATCTTTCCTTTCTCATTAGTCTTAACTCATCATGGATTTTTTTTTCTTACCTTGTTTAGGATATGGATGAAGAAATTGAGGCAGAATACAATATTTTGCGATTTCTTCCAAATCACCCCAATGTTGTGAAGTTTTATGGGATGTTTTACAGAGCAGATCACTGTGTGGGTGGACAGCTGTGGCTGGTCTTGGAGGTAAGAGGCTCCCTTTGGGTAACCACTGATTCTGACAGTGTGGGGAAAGCAAATGCTTTATTGCCTAAGAGTTCTAAGATACACGTTCAAGCAGTATGTCTCTCCTTTGTATCAGAGACACTTTACCAGTGTGGAATTCTCTGTAGTTCTTACAGATAGGTAGGCTCTGTGCTGAAAATATTTCTATTCTTGTTTCTTGCCTCAAAAATTTAACTATCTTTTATTCTGCCACAGAGTGAATACAGGAATACCATTGGAAGAGGTTATATCATTCCCCATTTATCAGAACATATGTTCCAATTGATTGCAACTCATTTTCAAAACTTGTTAAGCCCAGCTGGAGTTGGCCTACCATTTTTGGATTGGCCCACTTGTGTTTGTTAATCCTCATCTTAGACTGGGTTTCCTGAAAGCAGAGTTGTGTGTGAAAGCTGTGTGGGGGATTTTGTTTGGAAGAAAGCAGGGAAAGTAGGTGGGACAAGGAGGAGATCAAACAGCGTTGTAGTTGCAGCCGAGCCCCCTGGTAATCCTAGGAAAATGGAGAGCTGGGAGACCTTCTCAGAGGTGTCTTGAATTGCATTGCCACAATGGCCAGTCATTGGCTGTGCGCTGCTCCTGGGTGTGACCTTAGGCAAGCAGTTCCCTGCAGTGAAGGGTAGTTCCTAGTGAGCGATGCAGATGGGACTGGGTCCAAGAAGCAGTAGACTTCCTCAGAAGCATAATTGTAGGGCGGAATCTGAGGGGACACCATGGTATCCACTGAGGTCCTCCATTTTCCCTTCGTATATTAATCAGAATGAGTGTAAACATGTGGGTGCAAAAGGGCTGATCTCCAAAGTCACAACTCTCCATGGAATTGAAATAACAAGAACAGGACAAGCCTCTTGCCTCATTCTCACAGGGCCCACTACGTTCTGGACTTGGCCCCTCTTAGCTAGCTAAGGCCACCCCACCTGCGGTCACATGGATGACTCAGGATCGTGTGCACATACTCAGAAGCTTTAAGAGAGAGGCACCAAAGGAGAGCCAGCCCTTTGCCACTGCCTGGTGCCTCGTGTCCGTGTCTGCCTGACTCTGGGAAGGCAGGAGCATGGGACCTTGTGCACTAAGCTGCCATGGCAACTGTGTATGGAGAATTCATTGTTATATTCAGATGAAATAATCAGCAGGAAAACCGGTTTGACTATTTCTGTCACATCAGTTGGCTTCCTCAGAATATAGATGTAAGGGACTTTGGCTTTTCAGGAATGATCTTCCCTTTAGTTGACTGGTTAAGTCACATAAACATTCTCATGTTATCTTTTGGGTTTCACTAACTCCCCACCCTCTACCCCAATAGTGCGGTGATTTTATCCTGTCAATGGAGCTATTTAACGCGCTGCTTTGTTTGGGAGTGGTACTGTTTCTGGGGTCTCTGATTATATTTATCTTCAGTCTCTTTAACCTCACTGTGACTCAATAATGAAAGCGCAGTGACTGAGAGAGAAATCTTAGTCACTCATTGAATATTCTCCTTCCTTTCCCCATACAGTTCACTCTGCACTTCCAAAATATCTGCATTCAGGCCCAGAGAACTGGAGCTTCCTGGAACTGCCCAGGGGCTTCCCTTTGTGCAACCAGGCAAGCAGGTGAGCTGCTCATGCCTGCGGCCTCCCAGTGAAAGAATGATGAGGAGTGAGCACAGGCATAGCCCCAGGATGGCCAGGACAGCAAGGCCTTGAAAGATTAGAAGGCGCCCAGAATGATGGCACAAGCTGTGGGCAGGCACTTCTTTGCAAACCACCTGGTGCTTTTTCAAAGTGACCATAGGCAGATGACGAGGCCACCCTGGGTCGGTGAATTCATTATATCTCAGCAATGCAATATGCTGGCATTTAACTTTTGCTGGTTGTGTAGCCCATGCCAAAGCTGTATCTAGGTTGCTGGGTGTCTTTGATCTTTTCTGTTCCAGGAAGAACTGCAAGACTCTTATACAAACACTGGCATTATTGGGCTCCTAACACTGGCAGAAGCCTCCAATTTCAGTCCCTGGTGTTTCATGGAGGGACAGAAGACCAGAGAGGGGAATAATAGGCTTAAGGTCACATAACCACAGTGCTGAAAACAAAATGAAATTAAAATGTCATTTCTGAAATTTCTTACTAATTTTTTAGTAGAAAGCAAACAGAAGCTCTGTTTCACGATAGACACCTACTATATTATTCAGACAGGGAAAGAAAACAATTGCTGCATATTTTAGAAAATCTATGAATGTTTTTAGTGAATGTTAAAAATTGCCTAATATGTGCTAAGATGTGAACTACATTTTCTCTTTCTCCTTTTTGTGTGAAACCTTGACAGGCAGAAACTATTAATGTTAGCATGAAACAAATGTTCAATCTAAAAGAAATGGTTTAGAGTAATGTAAATAAAGCTGTAGAGAAAAAAAAAGAAAAACTTTGTTTTTAAACGAGGTAAAAGAATTTGCTTTTAAAAATCTGTCCTGCACCTCCAACCCCTACCCGGAGATCTAAGTTCAGTGTCTAGTGCACAGCAAAATCAGAGAGAGAGAGACTGAGAGCGGGAGAGAGAGGCACAGAGAGACAGAGACAGAGACTTGAGCAAGACAGAGAGAGACCTCTGTTCAGCTTTTGCTTTTCCTGAAGACTAGAAAGTCACTTTATGGCAGTGTCTGTTATACATCAAACTATTTTCACCTATTGATATCGTGTGAATTCAATTTTTCAGGCTAATGGATCGGGGTCTTAGTAGTACTCTGGTAGGAGAATAAGACCTGTAGGTTTTGATTGGTCTAAGATGGTCAGAAAGCACTGGAGCATGGAATATTGACTCAGACAGTAGATCCTGGAAAGTCTGGACTGAGAGTCGCTGGAATGCTTGGAGTCAGGGTAAAGAAGAGAATTTTGAAATAAGACAGATTTGCATCCTATATGCATGTGCTATACGCTTTTGCTCTTCAACAAAAGACAGTTAAGAAGCTGAGATGTGGAAGTGATTCTGTCCACTCATGGCCCTACTCAGTATGTGCCCTGGAGAAAGACTGAGATGGGAGGGGAAGCCGTGGAGCCCACCTACTTTTCTAGGCACGAGCGTCTCACCACTCAGGGCAAAACAATAGGATTTCGAGTGATGTTGTTCTCATTTGGTACTCAGTGAAATAAACATGATCTGTTCCAACACATAAAGAAAAAGTGGGACATGAACAGTGCCCAACACAATGCTTTTTAAGGCATCCACTGAAGTAATTTCGACGACAACCTCTGTTTAATGTTCTCTGTAAAACCTAACAGCCTTGAAAGACCTTGATAGCCCCACTGAACAAAAAGGCATGGAAAGAAATTCCTCTTCATTTTGCAGACTGGTGAAGTCAAATCAACACGTTGGGACAGAAACGACCTGACAGTTGGACTAGGCTAGAACAAAGGTCTGATGATTTTGGTGCAGGGCCGTTCCTTATTAATGTAGAGGAAAAGCTGAAGGCTTATTGAGCGAGGAACATTTTATTGCTTGAAATTATGACTGGCATAAGAAATACACATACTGTGACTGAGTCAATATTCGATGATGTTTTGGAAAATAGATGTGGAATGTAAGTGATTTTTCTATTTTTCTTGGTTTGGAGCAAAATGCTCATTAAATTCTAGATGCATCCAGCTGCCACATTTCCTGAATGCTGAGGGCGTAGAGAAGAATTGAGGGGATGGAGCCACACCTCTGTATTTGAGTTTGAAGGCTGGCAGAGTGGGTGGGAAGAAAGGGCTGATGTGCCAACCCTCAGGGCCGGGGCAGGAAGCACAGTTGCCTTCTTATAACTCTTAAGGGGATTATTTTATTGGATGCATTTAAATACATTTCCTTGTTATATTTTTTTTAATTGTTCAGCCCATTTCACCCAAAATTTATTCTGGATAGACAATTATGAGTGTGTACCTGTGTGTGTGTGTGTGTGTGTGTTTAATATTCAAGAGCCTTGAATCTTTTTTTCTATAACCCATGAGCTGCCCTTTAAAGCCTTGCTGGTGGGCTTGTCAACTTCACAGGACAGCTTCCTTTATAGATGCTCTGAGCAGTTTAATGATATGTTTCTGTGCATTCTGGAAAGTCAGGCAGCTCTTAAACTCTGACATTTAGTGAACAAAAGGCCCTGGCTAAGTGAGAACTCTGTTGTTCTTAAATCTACAGCTGAGTTTTGATCCTGCTGACAAATAGCTGTTCTTAATTCCTTCAGAGATTTTGGAATGATGAAAAGAAGTTTGTAAGTTGGCTGCTTGCAAAACGTATTGCTGAGGAGGCCTTTGTTGCATACATGGCTACACTTAGAGTAAGGAAGGAGAGATGAAAGTGGGATTGCAGGGGGAGATGGCAGGCTCGTATTAGGCGGGATCATGATCAGCATTTAATTTAAACTTTCTCTTGGTAGAATTTCCATAGCACACTTGTAATTCAGGAAAGCACGTGTCCCGCTGAGCTGTGCGCCAGGCTGAGGGTGGTCCTGATGCAGGTACTGTCGTGCGTGGCATTCCTGTTCCTGGTGGGCTCTGAGCAGCAAGAACGTATGGGCATTTCCTAGAGTCTTACAGGTTCTGCAGAATCTGTCAGAAATTCCTGTTATTCTGTCCGATAAGAGCCTCTCAAATCTGCCTCCTCAGCCTCATGATTTGATTTTTGGCCCTGCCGTCCTTAATGGCTTCGACGTCTCTTGATGGATGCTTTTCTTCTGTCCATGCTCTGATCTTCTGCCTGAGTCATCTTTGTAAAAGGCAAATCTGAATGTTGGAACTTCCTGCCTGAAATCTGTCCAAAGCGTGTCGTCCTAACCTAGTGATATATCATAGACTTAATGCAGAGTAATAACATCCCTAGCTCTCAGCAGGGCACGCCTGTCAGTCTCTGTCCATCACATTCCTTCCCCATTGTCCAGCTCGAGGATCCTGTCACCATTGGTCCCGAGACCAGCAGAGAGTTTAGAATTCACAGAGACACACACACTCACACACTTATTCTTTTGTGCTCCCTTTCTTTGCACAGATGTTCTTCCCCTTCTTAGCCACATGCTTCAAACACATTTGTCTTTCAAACTCACTATATGTGTTACATCCTCTGGGAGAATTTCCCAGGCTTCCCTTCACTCAGCAGAGATTCCTTCCTTGTTTTGGGCCACCACACTCCCGAGGTCCGCACCTAGTTGCTCATGTGCCCATTTCTAGGCAGTGATCTCTTTGAGGCTGGGGGTGCGCCATATGTATGTGCCTTAGTGAGAGTAAATATACTGGCCAATTGCAGACTAGTGAGAACAGAGAGGTGAACACTGAATGTTCTTTATCCTTTCAGGGTCATGGAAGACATCACTAGAAATGAAAGAATATGGGGCCCTTTGGAAGACTGTGCTAGTCAGCTTTTCACCATTGTGACGAAATATCTGAGATAATTAACTCGTAAAGAGAAAATGTTCATTTTGGTTCATAGTTTCAGAGATTCCAGTCTGGAATTAGGGGACCTATCTTTTAGGCCTCTGGTGTGGGTGCTGATGGCAAATTACTCAGTCAGTTCATGGTCAGGAAGTGAAAGAGAAAGTTGAAGAGGCCGGGCTCCCACAGACACACCTAGTGACCTAAAGACCTGCCTCGAGGCCCCTCCTCCTAAAAGTCCACAGCACCTTCCAACAGTGCTACTCTGGGGGGCCAACCTTTATTGTATGGGTCTTCTGGGGACATTTAGCATCCCAACTATAGTAGGCATGATGCTGGCACTCAACACGAGGTATTGGTGTTGAGTTGCCAGACAGTAGATTCTAGTGTCACTCAATATAATTCCACACTCATGGACATTCATAGTCTTCAATGCATTTCACCACTCTTAGAGTCCTTCCTAAATTATTCCTGAGATATAGTAATTTTAGGCTAATTTTTGAAATTCCCCAATTTTATATTATACTGTTTGTCACCATACCATCACTTATGAGCAATTTAAATGATTAAAAACTTTGTCAAATTCATTTCCAGGGTATCCTGTTTGTTAAGGTGTGTAAGGCATCTTTCTAGGTATCTATCAGTGAATAGTAGCCACATCAAATAAACATATCTGTTCAGCCTTTATTAAAATATTACAGAGTCAGTAGCTCCTAATGTATTTTTTGTCTGGTGAAGAGTTGTCTGTTTTAGTTTTTTAAAATTTATTTTGTTATTAGATGTTCGTAAATCATGCATCTCACAGTCATCTTGTGGCGTGGTTACATGTACACATTACAGCGTGGGCATTTTTTTCTCCTTTCCCCTCCTACTCTGGTTCCTCGATCACCTTTTTCATACCCGTTGATACTATGAGCACATGTTATGATATGTGTAGTTCACACTGACTGGAGTTACTAGGATCCTGTGAATGCCCATCTTTATTACTCTCATTTCCTCATCCCCTCCCCTTTCCCCCTTCTTCTTGTTCCCTCAGATCTTTTCCCTGTTGGATGAGATCTGTCCCCTTGATGCTTTCTATCCTTCTTTTATCATTCTCTCGGTTTGTACTTTGCCTCACTCAAATGAGGGATACCATACTACAGTATTCAAGCTTGTGTGTCTCATTTATTTTGCTCAACATTATGTTTTCCAGGTGCATTCATTTTCCTTCAAATGTCTCAAATCTGTCATTCTTGGTAGCTGGGTAGTATTCCATTGATATAGACACCGCATTTTGTTTATTCAGTCATCTGTTGGTGGATATACAGGCTGCTTCTGGGATTTAGCGATTACCATGTGCTGCTATAAACATGGGTGTGCAGGTATCACTGTAGTGTGATAACTTAAGCTCTTTGAGGAAGGTAACTAGCAGGGGGGTATCTGAGTTGTCTGGAATTTCTAATTTCAACTCTTTGAGGAATCTTCATACTGATTTGCATAATAGTTGTACTAGTTTGCACTCCCACCAACAGTGCAGAAAGGTTCTTCTTTCAGCACTGCCATACCAGCACTTGTGATTGATTTCCTAACCTTCGTCCTTCTTTCCAGAGTAAGGTGGACTCTTAGTGCTGTTTTAATTTGCATTAAATGACCAGGGATGTTGAACATTTTTCATATATTTATTGACCGTCTGTATTTCTTCCTCTGTGAAGTGTCTGTTCATTTTTCTAGTCCCCGCCGCTTTTGGTACCAGGGATTGAACTCAGGGCCTTGCGCTTGCGAGGCAGGAGCAGTGCCATTGAGCTAAATCCCTGGCCCTCTAGCCCATTTCTTAACTAGATCTTTCAAATGATGTACCTCCAGCAACACTTGTAATGTGTTTTCATCCTCTGCACTGACTCCTCGAGGGCCTAGCCCTGTCTGACTACCTAAAATATGTCTACCTAACTTAGCTGTCTATAATCACATGATACTCTACATGGAAGACCCAAAAAGTCCCACCAAAAACTCTTAGAATTAATTCCAATTTCAGTAAAGTAGCAGGATACAAGATCAGCACACAAAAATCATTAGCATTTGTGTACAGCAACAATGAACGGGATGAGAAGGAAATTATGAAAACAACACCATTCACAGTTGCTTCAAAGAAATGGAATACTTAGGAATTAATCTAACCAAAGTGAAAGACTTCTACAAAGAAAACTGCAGTACTCTGAATAAAGAGATTGCAGAAGACATCAGAAAATGTGAAGATGTCCTCTGCTCCTGGATAGGAAGAACCAATATTGTCAAAGTGGCCATACTTCCAAAAGTGTTACACAGATTCACTGCAGTTCCAATCAAAATACCAACAGCATGCTTTACAGATCTAGAGAAAACAATCCTAACATTCATATGGAACTAGAAGAGACCCCAAATACCAAAAGTAATTTTGGGCAATAAGAACAAAGCAGGAGGCATAGCAACACCAGACTTCAAGCTATACTATAAAGCAATAGTGATAAAGACAGCATTGTAGTGGAACAAAAACAGACATGTGGATCAATGAAACAGAATTGAGGATACAGAATCCTTACCAGACATTCAACTATTTGATCTTTGACAAAGGGGCCAAAAACATATATTGGAGGAAAGATAGACTGTTCAACAAGTGGTGTTGGGAAAACTGATTATCTATTTGTAGAAGAATGAAAGGACCCATAACTCTCACCATATACTAAATTAAAATCAAAATGGATCAAAGATCTAAACATTAACACAGAATAAACCTCCTGGAAAACAAAATAGGTAAAATACTTGAAGATGTAGGAGTAGGAAAGGATTTTCTAAAGCGATGTCTGTGTTAGGAAAGATGTTAATCTCTGCTTCTGTTTTCTTGGAATAAGAACAGACCCTGGACTCAAACAATGAGACCCTGAAGAGCTACCTACTATTCACTAGTTAACACTTTCCCAAATTGCAGGAGAAGTACCTGCAGGTAACCTAAGTCTTTAAGCAGGTTGTGGTTGTATTTTTTTTTTTTTTTTCCTGTATAAGGTCAAGGATGGCTCTTAGAATCTTATGAATGCTCTGGTTGTCTCTCCAGAAAAACTCAAGATGCATGAATAATATACTGCCTGCAATTTCAGAATATTTTCATGCCTTGCTCAAATAGTTTAGTAACCCTGCATTTAAGATAGCTTATTGCAGACCCAAACCAGAGTCTTCTGTAATTAGTAAAAATTATCCTTGAAAACCTTCAAACTGCAGAGAAAGTATCGTATACCTGATTTATGGACTCGCTTCAGTGATGTACAATATACAGCAAAGAACAAGTATGCAAAATATAATCACTTACAGTGTTTTAAATTATTAGGAGGAACTAGGAGGGAGACAGAAAGAGCCAAAAGCTTAAACCTGAATAGAAGACACCATGTCCCTATGGTACAGTCCCATCCCATAAACCTGACACCCATTGGCAACTCTAGAAAGAGCTACTAGCCGGACTTCCGAGGCCTGCAATGTGGGTATGGGAGGCAGGAAGGTTTGGTCACTGAAATCCATTCCCTGTCAGGTATCGAGGATATCCATCTTGCTTCTTCTTGTCCTTTCTTATCCTCAAAATGCACATTTGAAAAAAAAAATATAGTGGACCCTTGAGTAAAGACCAGCCTGACCTACAAACAACTCAGATTACAAGTGGAATTTTAGTTTTAACTTACAAAGTCTTGAATTACAACTGAATGTGCTTCTGGATGGCCTCATATACAGATTTAACCCTGAAAGAGTTCTGGAAAGAACATTACAACATCCTTCCCTGTGTGGGGTTAATTGAGAAATCCTGGGCCAATGCCTCTCTAAGGACCCTGAGATCTGCCTCTACACCAGAGAGAGGCTTTGAAGGCTGTATAGAGGAGCCTGAACCTTCAGTTAACCAACCTGAGCTACAGCAGCTTTTGGGAATGAATTTGAGTTCATAAGTCAAGGGTCCACTGTAGCTGAAAATGTAAAAGATCCAATAAGTCACCACGATTACTGATGGGTTTTTTTTCTTTTTGATACCTAAATAATAACTTACACTTTTCTATTTTACTTGGCAATTAAAAAATCAGTTTTTGGTTGTGTACTTTTGCTAATAAATCATCACCTTGAATAAAGGCTGTACATACACAAAAAGAGTTGGATTTGGCTGGCTAATGGAAATTTAAAGTCTAATTATTCCAAGGTGGAGTTTTGCGGTCTATAAATATACTATGTTTAGTAAGTAATCAGTGAACTTTTCTCTTTAATTTATTTTTCTTTTCTTTTGGTTTGGGTTCTGCTGCTCCCTCTCTGGGTGGCACCTCCTCCTGCAGCTGTGTAATGGGGGCTCTGTCACGGACCTTGTGAAAGGCCTCCTCAGGAGTGGCCAGCAGTTGGATGAAGCAGTGATCTCCTACATCTTGTATGGAGCCCTCTTGGTAAGAACATCCATCGTCCAAGGAGCTGGAGGTGACAAGAGCAGAGGGGGAGATTTGTACACTGCATGGCATCTCATTGCATATTAACGATGGGGGAAGTGCCCCATAATATGCAAGCATAATTAATTGCAGGAAAGTGTAGCCAAATGTGGACTTTCTAATAGTGGGGTAATCGCTTTAAAATAAGCACGTCAATCTCCCCTTTCTTTCTTTTTCCCCCCCCTGTGTGCTGGTGGTGGGTGCCATGCAGGGCCTTCAGCATTTGCACAACAACCAAATCATCCACCGTGACGTGAAGGGGAATAACATTCTTCTGACGACAGAAGGAGGAGTTAAACTCGTTGACTTTGGTAATGGCTGTGTGTCGTTTGTTTTCTTGATGTGTGCAATTTAGCCAAAGGGGACAATTTATTGCAGTTTCAGAAAATGGGGCCTCTCTGCTACACCACAGGCTGGGGGACTTTTCCAGGCAAATGTAGGCTGGGTAGTGGATCACCCTACCAGATGGATCACCCTGGGACATACTGTTTGTAAATCTATTTTTGGCTTTAGAAGCAATTTTATTAAAGATAGAAAATACAAGTGTTGAAAACCTTTTTGGTTTTCTGGTGAGTGTTTTACATCTCAGGGTAAATGTCTATAATTTACATTTTGTCATGTTTGCATATGAAAAGAGAAGGCAGTTTGCTCTCTTAAATGGCTTTCACTGGCCTTAGGCATACTTATTCCCAGTGAGCCAAAGTTAAAATAGTCCTCTGGGCCTGGGAGCTAACATCCCTTTAAAAGCTGATTATTGTTTCCACATGTGGGGGCTGGTTGAACTTGAAACATTAACAGGAAATGGAAGGGTAAGAGGAAATGCACTCTCACTTGAGGCCAGATGATTAAGTATCTTCCTCCATAAAATGAAGTACCTTATTAAAAAAAGAAGTCCCCCTAAATAATTGGGAAATATAATCGGAAGATTTTTTTAGGTTGATCCTGGTTGTTGATATTTTTCTTTTGGTTCCAAATTTGAAGGGATATGAACAGGAATATTCATTAGAAAAAATTCTTATGATTTGATAAAATGATAAATGCTCCAGTACAGTGGAGTTCATATGACCTACCTTTTTTTTTTTTTTTTTTCCTTTACCAGGATTGAACTCAGGACCTTTCACTTGAAAGATAGGTGCTATGCCACTGAGCTAAATCCCCCACCCATACCTCCTATTTTTGTATGGGCCACCAGTTAAGAATGATTTTTAAATTTTTGAATGATTGAAAAACCCCAAAGAATATATTGAGATGTAAACATTATGTAAAATTCAGATTTCAACATACTTAAAGTTTTTTTGGAGTACAGCCTTACTGTGTGTATTTTTTATGGCAGCTTTAGCTTACAACAGCACAGTTGAATAGCTATGACAGAGACCATATGGAGCCTTAAATATTTACTATCTAGCCCTTTATGGGAAAAATTGTCAACCCTAGTCTGGTATCACCTTCTACTAACTGCTGAATTCCAATACCATTTTCTTGCAGGGGTCTCAGCTCAACTCACCAGTACACGCTTACGGAGAAACACATCAGTTGGTACCCCATTCTGGATGGCCCCTGAGGTAAGCAGAGAATACAGTACCTGGTTCTTTGTACTTGTTGAGTACCTTAACACTATGCCTTTTTATGGGTAAGTCATATGTTATCTAAAACTTTCAAGATGAAAGCCTTTGTTTTCATTAAACTGTAAGAATTCTAGTTTGGTGAGATGCTAGTAAGACAATCTCAGAAAAAGCAGGATCAGTACCCTCATGCAATTAGAAAAAGATGTCCTTCCAGGAGACGCAGCCCCTTCAAGGGTTATGCTTGGCAAGGCCATCCAACACCTGCTGCAATTTCCTCAAAGGTTACCTCTCATCTACAGTTTTCTCTTAAACTTGGGAAATGGACAGACGCATCTCAAAGGAAAAGAAAACCCCCCCAAATTGCAGTGTTTATTTAAATATTCCTTGAGGAGGTATATAAAATGAAACTAGCTATAAAATTTCTTGTCACATATTTATAGAATTATAAAACCAAAGAGAAAAATGTATTAGGCAAAAACTACAGAGCCAGTCACATTTAAGTAAACAGCTTTAGTCTAATGAGACAAACGATATTGTTCTCTGAGTCTCAGTTGTCCTTTGCTTTGTGATCTTGTTTGAGAGCAGGATAGCGTGGGCTGTTGTGAGTCTGTCATGCCCACAACCAGGAAGCTTGTGGTGACCCTGTCCTCCTACTACTTGGCTGTGTTTCAGTAAGTGGCTTTCTGCTGACCTCTGGCTGTTGCTTTTTCTAGGCCAGATGCCAGCTTTATTATAAACATAACGTGCACACTGAAATTATATGGTAAATGGCCTTTCAGATGATCTGGATTATGTTTTTACTCCTCTCATTATTATTGTTAATACAGTGATCGCTGAAACAAAAACAAATAAAAAGTTTTCGTAGGGATCTCATGAACTCCATTTTGAGAAACACTGTCAGATGGAGTTGAAATTCTTTTGGATGGAATTCCTTTGCATGGATCCTTCCCTCTCATTCTACCCCTCATCAAACTGTCTAGCCTCATTTGGGATCACCTTTCCCCAACTTACCCATTCTTAATGTCCCAAGAGTAGTGAACAATAGATAGTTGCCAAACCCTGTGGGATGTCATTCCTTTAAACCTTGACATACCGTTACATCATGTGGAATGACCTTCAGAACTCTGGAAAGTTCCTCCTTAATCCTAATATGCCAGCTCCCCTACGAGGTCTTCCTGAGTCTCAGCCAATGGCAAGGCCCCTATCCCTAAGGTTCCACTGTAGCCTCACACTGTGTATTAGCTCACTGTTACCACTTACTAAGACTTGGCTGGCGGAAAGCTCTGGCAAGAACTTGGACTACCTAGCTCTCAGCACAGTGCTTAATATGAGAAGGTGTTCAAAGAAGAACTGCTGTGTACATGGATGCATTAGTAAAGAAGCCAGAGGCGTAAGATGGGTTTGGAGGACAGTTTGAAGAGAGCTTCTTCACAGCCACTGGTATTAGCAAATTTCTCTGTAGATTTTGGCTGATCTGTTCTGAAAGGGAAGAAGTGTCACTCAACCGCGGTCACTCAACTCATACTTGGGTGGCATAACATGAAAAATGATGTTCTTGTTACAATCCATAGCAAACCTGTTCTCAGAACAAGACACAATTAAGAGAAGCCTGCCTTGGGCATTGTATGTTTATTAGGAGGTATTTATGACTTTTTAATTTTAGCTGGATTGCATAAAAATGTGGAGTATTTCTGTAGGGGCAGTTTGGTGGTCTGTGATGAGCTTCTGTCGCCCACATTGCTTGGAAGTAGTTCCCTTCTCAGCAGGGAAAAGGCAGTGTCACATCCTGCCTGCTGCAGTGGGCACCCTGAAGACCATTGAGTTCACAGAGCAGGGCCCTGGATTGCACTGTGCCGGAGCAGCTGTCTGACCACTTCGGACAGCATTCTCAGGATTTATGCTTCTGGCCACTGTGCTCCAGGACCTGTGGTCTGCACCATCCCCACACTGTTTCCGAAAAGGAGCCTCTTTTTCTCCATAATTCTCCGTAGGGTTGCTCACAGGAACAAGCTTCCATTTCTCAGTTCAATTCAACAAACACACTCTCCACTGTGGCCAGTGCTTTGGGTCAAGCCCAATCCTTGAAAGTGTAATCAGTAATGGTTCAAATTAACATTGTCCTCATCTGATGGCCCACACAGTGTATTGATCCTAATCTACTTTCCCTTCTGTTTGTTGGAATTAGTGGATTCAGAGTAAATATAGCAACAATACATGTAATACCACTGCCAGTGGAATAAACCATTGCAGATGACCTGTGCGTTCATTGTTAAAGTGTGACTGAGAGATCCTTGAACCTATTTTATTTTTGAGCAATTGAACCACATTATTCTTTTTCCATTTTTATTTCACAAGCTTGAGTTACTAGCGGCAATCTTTAAATCAAATAGTTTCTACTACAAAGCAGGTAGTTAATGGAATGTGACCATTCCACAATCGCATGTTGACGAGCAGTCAAGATGCAGAGTTCACTGGGGCAGTGCAGAGCTGCTGCATGAATCCGCTGTCATATTGTCAACACTGCCCACACATTTCCTCTTGCAGCTTTGCTTAAACACACCAAAGTTGAAAAATACTGGTAGAGCGACATCAATCTAGTAATGTAGGAGAAGGATTCTACAGGGTGCCGTTAGTGTGCTAGTACTTGGAGACAAGATGTCTGGGGAAATAAATTGTCCAGCATAGTGAAAGTGTTAACCTAAAGTTAAGATCAGCACAGTTTTGTATAAACTAAATATGTACGCAGTGTACTGTCACTGTAGGGAACAAAAGGAAAGAAAAACGTTCAGCATTGAAACTATGCGTTTAGTAGATCAGCATGTGCAAAATAATTTGAACAATAAAAAATTGTTTCTTGTTTGTAAGAGCAGAGAGGTAGGTGGTTCCAGAGTTTGTTGATTCGGCAGCTCAATAAAGTCGTCAAAACCTAGATTCTTTGATCTCCCTGTGATTGCTGCAAGCTGCCTGGTATCATTGTCCCCAAGGGGGGTAGTTATGAGCACAGTGCCTGTGCTGTGTGGCAGCAATGTCCCTAGCATTTCAATGCCACCCGTGAAAGTGTCCATGGGAGGGTCAAGCAGAAGCCTTCCTCTACTCCCGTGGGACTGCTCTTGCAGTCAGGCACCCAGCTTACAGTGGGTTTTCCTCCTGTTCTGGTTTGAAGCCTTGGCCATCTTTACATTCATACCCAGGGCTGCTGTAACCACTTAATATAAACTGGGTGGTTTAAAACAACAGAGATTTATCACTTCACAGTGCTGGAGGCCAGACATTGGAAATGAAGAAGTCAACAGGGCCCTGTACTCTCAGAAGCCCCAAGTGAGGGTCCTTCCTCATCTCTTTCCAGGTGCTGGAAGGTCACTGGAAATCCTTGCAGTTCCTTGGCTTGCTGAGGCATCACCCAGTCCTTGCCTTCATAGTACCAGGACATCCTCCCTTGTATTGTGTTCATATAGTGGTCTTCTTAAAAGGGCACCAATCACATTGGATTAGGGGGCCCACCCTTCTCCAGCATGACCTCATCTCTCTTTTTTTTTTTGGTACCGGGGATGGAACTCAGGTCCTTGTGCTTGAGAGGGAGGCGGCGGAACCACTGAGCTAAATCCCCAGCCCATGACCTCATCTCTTAACTAGTTCCACCCGCAGTAACCCTATTCCCAAATCATTCTGAGATTCCAGGAGTTAGGACTTCAACATGTATTATTATTATTATTATCAACATGTATTATTATTATTATTGTTACTGTTATTTTGGAGACCACGAGTCAACCTTTCAAATACTTAGTACCCTTAGTAAATAATTAGTACCCTTAGTAAATAATTCAAGTTTCTGAGGTATCAGCCAACTACTTGGAACCTACTGAGCACATGTTATGGGTGCTAGTTTAGGTGAAACTCAGTTTCACCAGTTTACACACACACACACACACACACACACACACACACACACTCACTTCGGTTTCCTAGTCTATGATTTTAGCCTGTATCTGAGGCACTTAAAAAAATGCAAACCATATTCTCTCTATTAGCTGTGTTTATTGTCTTGTTTCTTTCTCCTGATGGCTGAGTTCTAATAAATAATACGAATAATACTATTCCACATTTGCGTAGAAGTTTTGTTGATATTACTTTGTAAACACACTTACCTCTGAGCTCCAATTAGGATGATGACATCAATGTTCTAGGTGAGGAGTCCACGGCACTGCCAGGGCAAGTGCCCATAGATGCAGAGTGAGTGAACAGGCAGTGGTGACTGCAGTCCATACTTTGTGACCCTCTGAATTAAGAGACTTCCAAATAGCCTGTGCCCACTGTCAGTGTTAGCATTGCGTGGCAAATATTTGCATCAAACACACGTTAGGTAGTGTTCTGGTCGATAGTGAAGAGAGATACAAGCCTACTTTGTGTTTATTGCTGGTGATGTCAAGGAGTTAGAGATAGTTGATACTTTAATCTGTCTTTCCCACCAGAATATGTAGGAAGAGCGCCCTATCTCTGTGCCTGGGGAATCCCTGGCTTCCTGATGATCCAGCAACTACAGAGAGTCAGGTCTGTTTCCACCAAGGCCAGTTCCATGGCATCTTCCTTCCCACGGCCAGTACAACACGCCCACTGATTGTCAGGTATTTTGACACTTTCACTTACTGAGGACCAACTGACACAGCAAGACTGTGATAGGTGCTTTCGTTCTTTTATTGCACTCCATTCTTTTATTTTATTCTCACAACAGCTGTCAGCAGTAGATATTTTCTCCACAGTGAAAAGTACAGTTTATGGCGGTGCCATAGACATCATGCCCCAGTTCTCTTACCTAGTAAATGTTGAAACTGATTGATTTCTCAAACAGACCATGAGAATGCAAGCCGCATCGTTCAGATGAAGAAACTAAGGGAGAGAATGCTCATACTTTTTCACTTTTTGGTGCATTCGTATAGGATGCTCAGTGTGAGAGATACGTGGCAGCTCAGTGAGACAGCTTATCCAACAAAACCACTTGG